AAGATCGTCTGAGACCAGCCACCCGGACAGCTGCTGCAACAATCGTTTTGCATAACCAAAGAATTTCTGCACAAACTGTCAGAAACCGTCTCAGGGAAGATCATCTGCATGCTCGTTGTCCTCATGGCAAATGGTTGTCACACCAGATACTGACTGGTTTTCGGACCCCCCCAATACAGTAAAACTGCACATTTTAGAGTGGCCTTTTATTGTGGCCAGCCTAAGGCACACCTGTGCAATAATCATGCGGTCTAATCAGCATCTTGATATGTCACACCTGTGAGGTGGATGGATTATCTCGGCAAAGGAGAAGTGCTCACTAACACAGATTTAGACAGATTTGTGAACAATATTTGAGAGAAATAGGCCTTTTGTGGACATAGAAAAAGTCTTAGATCTTTAAGTTCAGCTCATGAAAAATGAGGGCAAAAACAATAGTGTTGCGTTTATAATTTTGTTCAGTGTGTGTGTGTATATATATATATATGTATATGTATGTTAGGGCTGGGCAAGTTAACGCATTAATTGATTAACGCCGACAATTATTTTATCGCGCATTAACACAGGTTTTTTAAAATTATTATTATTATTATAAAAGTCCATTGCTCACTGGCTCTGAATACACATGCAGACAAACCATGGGTCACAGGAGGGGTGGGATGTTGATCAGTAATGTCCCGCGATCGTGCAGGTCTCTACTCGTAAGGTGCCTGTTATAATGTTATGATTGAGGCTCTGGACTCGGAGCATAACTTGTTTTTCTATAACAAACTATAAAATATTTTCTATAAAAACGTTAATGCCCTGGCAGTGGCAAATAGCTTTGGTTTTATATTTAATTTGATTACATTAATGTTATAAGTTGAGATTTACAAGAAATATTTGAACTGCTACTAGGTAAAAGGAATACTGCTGTAAAATTGCACCTTATTTGTTTAAAGTATTTACAAACCAAATGTTATTGCACTTTTGTTCATATAGCAGTACTTTTAAATGGAAAAAAGTGCACAAAACACTACTTTTGAATTCATTATTGAATTTTGGTCATAACAATGTGATTAATTGCGTTTAATTGCAGAAAATCATGCGATTAATCGTGATAAATTTTTTGTTTTTTGTAATCGTTGCCCAGCACTAATATATATATATATATATATATATATATATATATATATATATATATATATATATATATATATATATATATATATGCTGTATAAAATATATATTAATTTAAAATATATAAATATATGATATATAGAAATATATTCATTATATTTAAATATTCATTATATACAGTATGAATATAAAATATTAATATACAAAATATCAGTTAAAATACTGATCATTTTAATTTAAGCATTCAGTATTATAATATATACCCCACATTTATAAAACTAAATACTAAAAACTTTTTAATTTACATTTTGAAATCAAAAAATGTTTATCCTAATAATTATAATAATATCAGTATATTATAGTAAATATACCGATCATTTTAAAATTTTATAAATGTGACCCTGCACCACAAAACCATAAGGGTCAATTTTTTTAAATTGAGATTTATGCATCATCTGCAAGCTAAATAAATAAGCTTTTTATGGAGTTTGTTTGGATAGGACAATATTTGGCCGAGATACTGTACAACTATTTGAAAATCTGGAATCTGAGGGTGCAAAAAAATCAAAGTATTGAGAAAGTCGCCTTTAAAGTTGTCCAAATGAAGTTCTTAGCAATACATATTACTAATCAAAAAGTTATGTTTTGATATATTTACGGTAGGAAATTTACAAAATATCTTCATGGAACATGATCTTTGCTTAATATCCTAATGATTTTTGGCATAAAAGAAAACTCTATAATTTTGACCCACACAATGTATTATTGGCTATTGCTACAAATATACCCGTGCTACTTATAACTGGTTTTGATATCATATCTGATATTAAAAGCCTTTTGCTAACTAGTGTTAGCCATTGCTTCCATTCTTCCTCAGAATGCACAAGCTTTCCTCGACTGTCATGCTTTCAGCTTGTTAGTGGTCCTTGCATTTGACAGTCTTTAAATAAAACACAATCTGGGACCTTAGACAACCTTTATTGTGCAACAAAAGCCTAGACAAAAGAAACACAATGTGGCATTGCATTTAGGAAAGTCTGCGCAGGGCAATGATGCGCTTCCACAGGTTAATGCGAGTTATTGTTTTTATGTTTGCAGCCGCATGTTTGCGAGTCGCTGTGTATGTTCGGTTGACACGCAGGGCTTGTAGCCATCCATCAGACTGAGAAGTTTGACTCACCAAATGCCTGCGCTTCAGTCGAGTCCTCCATTATTCATGGGGCAAAGGGGCCTGCGTGAGGCAGACTTTTTTTTTTACTTTAGCCCTGTTAATAATTCATGTGGCTGCACTCACGTCAACAGCAGGCAGACCTCTGAGGTGTTGGGAGCTACTCTCAAACCTGGGCTTGATTTTTGGGGCCCTCCAGGCCACCGTCCGTGGATGTGGACATGCAATATAACCGCAAGAAGAGATCCCAGGAATGATGAGGGCATGATGGGATTGTTTAATCTGAGGTCTGATCTCTCTGATCATTACTTTTGAACTTTGCACCACATCCCTTGATTGAATTAAATTGCTATTTACGGTGCAATTTTTAAGAAGTGTATACTTTTATTCAGCAAGGATGCATTGCATTTATCAAAAATGACAGTAAAGACACAATATTGCAAAAGTTTTCAATTTTAAATAAATCATGTTCATTGAGATTTCTAATCTTTATAATGTATCACAGTTTCAATTAAGCAGAACAACTGTTTCTAACATTGATGATAATAAATGATTTTTGAGCCTGAAATCAGCATATTAGAATGATTTCTGAAGGATCATGTGACACTGAAGACTGGAGTAATGATGCTGAAAATTCGGCTTTGCATCACAGAAATAAATACTATTTTAAAATATATTCAAATAGAAAACAGTTATTTTAAATTGTAATAATATTTCACAATATTACTGTATTTTTGATTAAATAAATGCAGCCTTGTTAAGCATAAGAGACTTCTTTCAAAAACATAAAGAAAAACCTAAATCCTAAACGGTAGTGTAATACATTTTATTTTATTGTATTATATTAACAAGTGCCAGCCTGCATGTAATACAATATTGTGTATGTTGCTGAAAAAATACATAATAGAATAACGTTTTGTGCTGTATGACAAATTTTACTCTCAGGAATATCCTGACCTCTTTTCTTCATATTCTCAGTAGCTCAGTCTGAACTTGTTTCTGTTGAATTGGTGGTCTAGTGAGTCCATGTCTGAACCAGAGAGGGAGGTAGGAAGTGAAGGAGACGGCAGCCAGGACACCTTTCACTTCCTCTGTGTGTCCTCCGGCTCCCTGCTGGCAATGACCTGAAGGTGTAGATTACGCTGGGCTTCCCTTAGCAGCCTGCCAGTCTGGCCTCATCCAGAACTATAGAGACCTGCCCTATCCTGGCCTCTGAACCCAGAGCCTTGCTTTTGTGTTTCAGAGCTGGAACAGGACCAAACTTGCATGCTAAACCCTCCCAGATCCAGAGGAGCTAGCGGTTCCGGTCCCTCAGTGTGCTGCTCTCTATTTCGGGCCGCTACCGCTGAGCTCATGCTGGTGGTGTGCTTAATGACACTTGTAGGTGACAATAAAATGTGCCTGTGTGAGCATGTGTCAGTCTCCATACTAACACCTCATGCCTTAGAGGAAACTTCTAATAGAAGAATTTTCCATTTTATAGCGCTGAAGGCCCTCTAATGATCAAGAGATAATTGGTTAACACTCTGTGATTGTTGTCGTTGTGTTATGATGATATATACTGAAGTGTTGTAATGTTTAGTCTACAGCGATGACACCCTCACATTAACATTTCAGTGGGCGGTATGAAATCACAGTAGAAATGACACAAACAAACAAATAAATAAATAAATAAAACAAGTACCTAAAAACCATATAGTTAAATTTTTACCATGGGCTAAAGTAAAAAAAAAAAGTCTGCCTCACACAGGCCCCTTTTACCAAATACAATAGAGTAAATATACAAATAAAATAAACAGTGATTTTCAGTTTTTTTTTAGGTAGGCCTAACATTAGCTTTTAGGTACAGAAATTGAATAAAGTAATGAAATGTAAAACAGCATTGCATATTTGACTGTATAAATTAAAGTTGAATCTTTATTAAAGTTTCAAAAGCTATTCAAGAGCAGTGAGTGCTTTCTTTGTTGTTGCTGTTTGATTAATATTAAGAAAGTGCTGTCACTTTAAGAGAATGCACTGATCCAGTCCACTGATACAGTACGTTCAGCCGGCTATGTCTGCTGTAGGAGGATACTTACCAAGACGGGCATTTTGACATCATTTTTGTGTGAATTTGTCCATTCAAGCACAATACTTAAAGGGATAGTTCACCCAAAAATGATCACTGCTTTGAGAGTCAAAAAAACATACACAAACAAAATCAAATTAAACCCTGCTGCTCATGACGATACATTGACATGTGTAAAGACACAAAATGATCGGTCTGTGCAAGAAACTGAACAGTATTTATATTGTTTCTTACCTCTGATTTTCACCACAATGTCTGAACTGTCCTGAGCACATTCGCGTCTTCTTCAGCCGGCTCATGAGGCATCTTCTTCTTCTTCTTGGTTTACGGCGGATCGTAGACTTATAAGTGCATTACCGCCACCTATCTCTCAAATGGACCATTGACACTCTATCTACAATCTCAATTAGTGTCAATGGTCCATTTGTGAGATAGGTGCCGGTAATGGACTTGTAAGTCTGTGATCCACCATAAAGCAAGAAGAAGAAGACGCATCAGGCGCCGGCTGTGAGAACGCGCTCAGGACAGTTCAGACATTGCGGTGAAAATCAGAGGTAATAAAACGATATAAATACTGTTCAGTTTCTTGCACAGACTGATCGTTTTGTGTCTTTACACATCAATGTATCGTCTCGAGCCGCAGGGTTTAATTTGGTTTTGTTTGTGTATGTTTTTTTGACTCTCAAATCCGTGATTCCGATCCACTTGCATTATATATCTGACAGACTGCAACGGTTTGAGTTAAAAATCTTCGTTTGTATTCTACTGATCTCAAATGGACCATTGACACTCTATCTACAATCTCAATTAGTGTCAATGGTCCATTTGTGAGATAGGTGCCGGTAATGGACTTGTAAGTCTGTGATCCACCATAAAGCAAGAAGAAGAAGACGCATCAGGCGCCGGCTGTGAGAACGCGCTCAGGACAGTTCAGACATTGCGGTGAAAATCAGAGGTAATAAAACGATATAAATACTGTTCAGTTTCTTGCACAGACTGATCGTTTTGTGTCTTTACACATCAATGTATCGTCTCGAGCCGCAGGGTTTAATTTGGTTTTGTTTGTGTATGTTTTTTTGACTCTCAAATCCGTGATTCCGATCCACTTGCATTATATATCTGACAGACTGCAACGGTTTGAGTTAAAAATCTTCGTTTGTATTCTACTGAAGAAACAAATTCACCTACATCTTGGATGCCCTGGGGGTAAGCAGATAAACATCAAATTTTCATTTTTGGGTGAACTATCCCTTTAAGTATTGTGTTTGAATGGACAAATTCACACACAAATTATGTCAAAATGCCCGTCTTGGTAAGTATCCTCCTATAGCAGACATAGCCGGCTGAACGTACTGTATCAGTGCACTGGATCAGTGCATTCTCTTAAAGTGACAGCACTTTCTTAATGAAAAATTGTTTTACATGTTATTTATAACAAACCATATTACAGATGCGTTGTCAGATTTAAGTTGAACCATGGTCCTAGCACGTGCCAAACCGTGTGTGGAGAACCATACGGTTCGATATTTTCCCCTAATATGTATACGCACACATGATAATATAAACATATATATATATATATATATATATTCATATATATATGTATAAATTCAATGTATAATAAAAAACTTTTTTCCCTATATGTATCCTATAATGAACAGTATATGAGTCCTGCACATGCAAATACTGTATATCCACTGGTATAAATGGTATTGCAGTGGTTTGATGCTGATTTTTATCCAGTCCAGCTCTGCTGAAATCACATGCAGACATGAAATGATAACTTGGACTCCTCTTTTTCAGGTCACACGATAGTCTGGGACCAATATACATTTGGGACTAGCAGCTTTTTTTTTTTTTTTTTTGATCAAAGCAATGGAAATGAAGATACACAGACTTCAAACTACTTCACAACTATTGGGATCAAGTTGTTGAACCTCATTTGAAAACTAATATCACTTGGAATGGACCATTTAAACACATGGAATTTTTCTCTCTTTTTTCACCCCCTCTTCTATTTTCACTCTGCCAAACTCCCATCTTTGCTTTCTAACAGTGTCGGACAAGATCATACACCATGTAAAGTAAATATTCCATAAAAATCAACATGTTGACCAGTTCAGAGACAATTCTGCGATTTCAGAACAATGGATTACATTTCCTTTTTGAAGCAAAGGTGGACTTGAAAGGTTGGCTTATTACTTGAATCATATGTTCCAGAGGCACTAATATTCAGTCCCCTATCCTTTGGTGCCAATATTTTCTTTCTTCTACTATGGGCAGACTTTCTGATCAATGTGAAGTGTATGATTTTTTGGGTATGGTTTTGGGGGCACTCAGCTCCATTTTGAAACAGACTTGTGCGAGAGCAAGAGGCAAGTATGACACTAAGAATTACTGGTATTAATAATGGATGAAGAAGTTGAAGTGGTCTATGGGAGCAGTGAAAAAGAAGATAGCAAAAAGATTTATTGTTTGTTTTTAAAAGCCTCGGTGGCCAATATTGCGTCAAAGTGTCAGTATTATCTCAAATAAAAGTATCTCTATGGGAAATCTCGTCCAATTGTAACTTTGAAGCATGATTACTCTGCCAACATAAAAGAGAAAGCGCATTTAAACATAACATCCACCCACCAACAGAACAAAAAGAATAAACAATCAGACATCTTTCATTATCCATCTGTCACAACGCATTCGCCAGCTTTGATAAAATCTTCAAGAGCATCAAGATGTCACATGACTATGCTAATGTTCGCATTGAAATTGACATGTAGCCTCTGTCTTTGATATACAGATTTATGTGCAGACGCCACGTTATTAGCATTCAGTCAGTGAGTCATGTAATGCTTTTGCAGCTGTCACAGAACACTTCAGACTGACTTGCACATGCAGGGCAAGGCTAATGCTATTAGCATAATACCATTTGCCAGCGATTTTGTCTGGCTAATTTACCATTAGCAATATCAACAGCAGAACAAGGAGGGGCACTGTGAGGTTAGTCAAGATGTCATTTACTTCGAGAAGTAAGTCACACAAAGGCCTGCTCTGAACAGGTCATAAACATAATGTTCAGACACTGGAGCGTTCATAATGATGGACTAATGTGTTTAGCTAATTGCAGACAGTGTGCAAGCTTTTAACTGAAAGAATGTGTCATTAACCAAGACTAAGAGATAAAAGCATTTAGGCTTGTGTGTGTGTGTGTTGAGGCAGTTTTGAGTGCTTAGGACATTGAGTGCTGCAGTTCATGGCATTGGGACAAAGGGTTGGTCCTCTGAAACGGAGAACTTAAAGACCTTTCTTGCCCTTGAATCACGGTAGGTGTTTGAAGTATTCATAACAGTGTTGTGGAGTGAATAACACGGTGACACTAGAAACGTAACCACATTTTTAATAGTGCACCATTAATAAAGTCCTTTTTCTAAACCAATATTAGGCTTACAGCTGAACTGAGGCAGTAATCAAAATATTCTAAAAGATTCAGAATCATGCTTCTTTTTAGTGAATCAGCTCATTTGATCATTCGATTCACCAATTCAGGTGCAACATTTTATGTCTTTTTAAAAAAAAAAAGTTTAATTTTGCTGTTTGTTTAGATTTTTTCATTTTTAGTTGTATTTAGTATATAAAAAACTCATGAACAAATTGTTCTTTTGAAGCATTTAGTTTTTTTTCAGTGAATCAGGACTGAACGATTCATTCTCAAAATGACCTGCTCAGATATGTGTATTTTGTCACTTTCTGGGTGTGTCGAGTCAGTGAATTTCTGACTGAACCATCTGGATGATTCAGTCCAATTTTTGAATGAATCACTGAGTCAGTTTGTTTATGAATCAGAGATTGCTATTTTTTGTTCCTTATATACATTGATTGACAAAATTATGCTCTGTCAGTGATATATTTGGACGTTTGGCCCCTTCAATTCATCTTGTGAATGAATCGTTCAGTCCTGATTCACTGAAATGATCCAAATCAAAACAACAACTTGTTCACGAGTCAGAAATCACAACTATTTTTTTGTTCCTGATGTACACTGATTGTAAAAATAAATACTTCCTCACAGTGATAAATTGATAAACCATACAAAACGTCTTCCATGTAGCTGTTTTTTGTTAGTAGTTTATAGATAACTTTCTGAAAAGGATTCCTTGACTATAATTTAACTTATGAGTTGCTTGATTCAAATATACATATAGTATGCAGAGAGCATAGTTAAAAGCACCATGCATATAAACCCAGCTGTGGAGTCTAATGACTGGTATCAGACTGAGGACAATGCCAGATATGGGACAGTGATGATACCTCATAGAGCGACCAGGATTAACCATGCTGGGTCTCTCAGCCGTTAATCCGTCGGGCCAAGGGCAGTCGCAGCAGCCCCGAAATTCTCAAGGCTTTCCAGAAGATCCCGA